TGTCTGCCTACTTAAACAATGTGCCTGCAGAAGAGGAAGAGAATAAAAAGGACAATCACTGAGCAGCCAGAAAGGTGTGTTAATCTACTAATAAGAAAAAAAACAAAAATAACAACAAAAAAATTGTAAGATGGACATCTGACCTTCTCATAATAGATTTATTGATTCCTATGTGCCACTACTGATCACTTTTACACAATTTGATGATGATTGTGAAGCTTCACCCACCTTTTTCCAGGAAAACTTTATTTATTTATTTGTTTGTTTGTTTGTTTATTTATTTATTACCTATACTGGGGCTTAAACTCAGACTGGGCCACTGTTTCTTAACTTTTTCACTTAAGAGTGGAGCTTGACTACTTGAGCCACAGCTTCACATTCAAGAAAAGTCTCAGGGACTTTTCCTGCCATATGTTGGTTCCAAATCTCAATCCTCGGGCTGGGAAGGTGGCTCAGTGGTAGAGCACTTGCCTTGCATGCATGAGGCCCTGGTTCGATTCCTCAGCACCACATAAGCAAAAAGAAAAAAGCCAGAAGTGGCGTTGTGGCTCAAGTGGTAGAGTGCTAGCCTTGAGCTGAAGAGCTGAGGGACAGTGCCCAGGCCCAGAGTTTAGGCCTCATGACCGGACCCCCCAAAAAAACAAACAAACAAAACCAAATCTCAATCCTCAAATCTCATAGCCTCTTGAGTAGATTACAGGTATAGGTCATTCTTGCTTGGCTTAGACAACTCATTTTTAAGACCTTATGACAGGGATAGAAGGGCCCAGTCTTCCCAGCTTTGACTGGGAAAGGCAAATGTTTATTTATATTATAAAGGCAAATGTTCTGGAGGAAGGTTTCCATCCATAGACCATAAATGGGATTTGGTACCATGAATTCACCATTAATTTACCAAAGAGGGCTGACACTCATCCTCATGGCCTAGTTAACATTCAGAAATCCCCAATAACCTTATTTTGTTTTAATTTTTTAAACTCTTAAGTCCCAAATCAATTTAGATAGCCCCAAGTTAAATATGTAAGTTACATATTTAGTTTTCTAAACTTCCAGGAAGAATATCTTATTTAGGCTGTAACTACAATAGAGGAAGCAAAGGCCTGAGCTAGTTGAACATGGTTGTCAAATCAGGCTACTTGCTTGGTTGATTCGAACAGGTTTCAGAATTTTACCAAGTTTTATCTTGTTGCTCAGTGTCTTTTGGATTGCAGTCTACTAATGGGCTATTATTTCCTTTTTTACTTGTATTAATCTTTTCAACTATGTAATGATTTTTATCCTCCATTCCCTCCCTTAACGGTGCTAAATGGCTCATGAAGAAAATAAGGTGCTTTGAGAATAGGATATTTTATTTTACCAAGAAGTTTCTGTGATAGTAACATGAGAGTTACAATTAAAGAACAGATCATTGAAATAAGTTATCAAATACCTGCTGAGTGTAGTGTTCATGGACTATTGTTGACATGTTAGCTGGTATTTTAAGTTATATTATTGATTAGAACAGCCTCAAAGTATGAAATACAGCGTTAATTACTGACAAAATTGTCAAAATCAAAATACATAAAATGATGTTCAGAGTCACCATGATGCCAGTGAGTTTAGTGTGAAGCCAAGAAAGCCAAAACAAACTAAGAAAGGTAGAGGGATTTGGATGGCATCCATGACCAATTTAAAATACGCAGGCCTGCCTTTGGAGATACGGAAATCCTTAGCATCATATTGGAAATATTTTCAGAATGTTTCAGAATACAATACAAGGTAAATGAAATTCTGAGTTTTAAGTAGAATTAAACAGCAGGAGTATATTGCAGAGTGGAGCCTGCCAAACTGTAGGATTTATGGATCAGTAAAATTAAAGATAATAAATAATTGGAGGACTATGGAGAGTTGCCAGCTATTTATTTTTGCCAAGTGTTGCTAGCATTATATCCCTTTCTGAGAGTCTGTTGAATGTTGAGGTTCTCACGTTGGACCTAGTAGGGTTTTTTTGTTTGTTTGTTTGTTTTAAGATGAAGAAAATCTTACAAAAGTTACATAAAATTTATTGTCAACGAGTAGATTTCACTGGTTGGCAATTCCTCTGTGTATGAGTCCAACTATTATTAACACTAAGTCCCTGAAGATAGCTTCCAAAAACCATGCACAACCAGCATGTATGGGTTACTGTGTCCTGGTGTAGTGCTCCTCTTAAACGCAGACATCTGTTCTTTCATTGCACAAACCATGCTTCAACCTCAAACCTTACTCTGGATTATCTTATTTATACTATGAATCTTTGAGATTGATACAAGTCCAAAAAATGATTTACCAGAGATAGTACCATTAAAATTATTTTATTGTAGACAGTTTTTAGTATATCCCGAAGTAGAGAATGTATAACGAACCAACACACATGACCATCCAATATCAACAATTATGAAGCAGTGGGTAACATGTTTGTTTTATGCCTCCTCTCATTTTTCTAACACCAGAGAATTATATCACAAATCTCAAACATTACATAATTTCATTCATCTATATATCTTTCAAACATATAGGTCTTATTTTTATTTAAAGCAGTCAGTAAACCATTAGCACACTTTTAAATATTAATAATTCCATAATATCTAATATATAACCAGTATACAGTTTCTTTGATGTATCAGTGTACTTTAATTTGTACATTTATTCATGTAAATACTTAAATATAACTGTAGCTTACTCAGTATACAAATGAAGTTTTTAGTCTGTCAGTTTCTAACCATTGGGATTTTCATGACTTTTAACTGTGTAATTTTATTTTACATGGTTCATCCGTTGAATGTACTACAAATTGAGTTGATCCTAAGGATTTATTGCTATTATGTTTTTATTTTTGGCTAGAGTGTTTCATAGAGGTGTTATGTTTCCCTGAGAGAGCCACACTCTTTAGCAGATGTTTTTCAAAATGTTATCTTGAGTTTCTCTCATTCACAAGACCCAATAGTGAAGAGCAAACAATGCCATCTTAAAACTATCATTCAATAGTAGGAACAATTGTTCAACAGCAGACATCAGAAGAATGCAATTGAAGATTAAAATATTGAATCTGAAGTACATATACATCTTCAGATTATCCTTACTACCTGACTTTTTCATAAGCCAACATGGACAAAGGATGCTGCATTCTGGACTAATCCCAAAGACCAGAATTTCAGAACCATTTACAGAGTTGGCAAGCTTCTGTTAGAAAGGAAAATTTGCCTAGTCAAATGTGGTTGAAACTCAATTTTACTTTTGACTTTTTATTTGTAGTGTATTCCAAATCATAACATACAACACATTCTACTCAATTCAAAGATTATTCTTTATATCATTCTTTGAATGCATATAGAGTACTTGAAGCAGGCACTTAGAATATAAGTGAATTAAAAAATAACAAAGTATACTCAAAATGCAAAATGGAGATAATATGTCATAGGAAAAGGAAAATGAAGTTGAGACCTGCATTATTTGTCACTACTCAGCTATAAGAAGTATTTTGCCCATACACATTGACTATTCTTTCTTGTGAATCAGTACAACAAGGAATATTTATATTTCCTCAGACCTACATTTAAAATTGCAATAATGAAAATTACCTGAAGAAGCAAAGGTGAACTATGGAACATAAGAAAACACACATGGACTGTTTATAGTTCATTTAATATGTTGTATCTCTCAGTAGACACTCTCACTGTAAGAAGCAAAATATGATTTCATCTTACTCCTCAAAAAGTGATTTTTTTACACAAATTATTTATTTATGTCATCTTTGAAGATATATCTACCATTACTTACACACCTTCTGTCATTGATAAGAATACAGCCCTCACTATATGAAGTGATCACATTGCTTGTTAAGAGCTTGGGCCTTCTGGTTGCCAGCTCTATGCCCTTCCTCCTTCTCCACACAGTCTACTTACGGTTTCTTTTGCATTAGAACTAATCACATATGCAGTACTTCCAGGACATTCAGGCATTTCCAAGAAAAAATAGTCCAGATTTGGAAACTAGAGGTGAGCAAAGTACAAAAGGTCCAGTGACCCAAGGTTCCATGAGACTCTCTCTTGGCTAATCACTTACTCTGTTTTCTCTCTCCTCCACAGCCCTTCCTGCCCTTCTTTTCTCCTTTGCCCTTTCTAATTTCCAATTTCCCGCTTTTGACAGTAGCTTGATGGGACTGGTTAGTGTGTTGATGGTAGCTCTGTGTGCTATTGACCTTGGCCAATCAACATGACCTTGTATTACCACTCTCACTTCTTGATGAGAAGAAATATCTTTGCCTATGGAACTTGAATTTAGTTCATTTGTTCTGGCTTACATAGTGTTTTTGAAAAATCAACTTTATATACCTTTATGATACACTTTCACAATCTAATTTGCCATCTTGAGTAGTGCTATATTGCCTTTTGGGTCATACTAGCCTTTTCTACACATCTCTCTCAGCTGCTGCTAAAGGTCCTTGAATTCACTACTGATAGACTAGCATCTTCCAGCAGATCTGAGATCCTGTGAGTAGAGCAATCTTTGACTTTCTGCTAATAATGAGACTCTTAAATCCAAAGCATCACCTGTAGCATTTCTCTCACAGGTCAGAATTAAATACTGACGTGGCCAAGATCACAGCATTTTTTTTTACTGTAGGCTGTATCTTTGTGGGCACATTGGAGAGTGTAGACAGATTAGGGCAGTCTATGGGGGAAACAGTTTAAAGCTAGCTACTCTATTAAAATGTCATTATGTGTTCTCAATGCAATAATTTGTTTCTAATAGTCCACATATGAAATAGTAAATATTTGGCATAATATAGAAACATAATCTTGTTACTATAGTCTGAATATGAAATAGTAAATATTTGACATAATACAGAAACATAATCTTATCATATAGGTGGAAGGATTTTCCTTGAAGTGATTTTTGCAGAGAATGTGCTAGACCATGCAATAATATATTTTCCCTTTCTTCCAACATTATATTTACTTGAGTCTTCTTCCATACAGGTTGCCAATTTGGCCTGTTCCATTTCCAATAATGAGGAAGGGGTGAAATTAGTTCGGATGGCAGCTACCCAGATTGACAGCCTGTGTCCCCAGGTAAGCCTGCTTCATGTTTCAAAATCCAATCCCTGGCCTGATGTTCAAGATAATCTACATTTAAGCCTTCCTGTCTTTCTTTTTTGTCCACATTTCTTCTCCATTTTTAAAGTCAATCTTCAAAATCCCTCTGTTTAGTGCATATTAATTGTACAGTGTTTTCATTGTTTTTTAAATTTTATTTTGTTTTAAAGGTGATATATGGAGGAGTTACAGTTATATAAGTAAGCTAATGAGTACGTTTATGGTTGGACATTGTTACCCCCTCATTCATTTTTCTCCCACTTACTCTTCCCCCCTTATGCAATTTGAGAGAAAGGGAATTACAAAATGGTGAAAAAAGGGACAAAGGATGAACCAATGCAATGGTGTTTTTGACAAGACACTATGTTGGAAATTGAATCCCTATTTCCATGATGTTATCCATCAGGGGCTATTTGAAGTTTTAGCTATCTCAAAAAGCCATGCTAACTTCTCCATGTATTCAGAATTATGGTTGCAATTATTTTTTTTTTCACTCATCTTTGTTCTGTTTGTTTTGGGTTTGTGATTTAAGTGCTTCATCTCTATTTACCTTGTCTCAACAAGTAAATTATAAGCTTCTCATGTGAAAAGCAGGAGTTACATTTCTCCCACATAAGTAACTAAGACTTGTCCATAAAATAGTTTTAGGAACCTGAGGCGAACTGCGCTATCTGAAAAACAAGCATCAAAACAAAAGCTAATGGTAGTTAATAACCCACTTTTGCCTCTTTATTATTATTATTTTTTCTTCTAAACACAGACAATCCAATTATTCTGTCGAGCCTTCTGGTTCCAGGGTTCCAACATAGTCTTTGACCTGCCTCTTCTCCTTTTAAAAGAGTATGCCATCATTTCTCTGGGTTGTTTCTAACAAATAGGTCATCAATGCCGCTCTCACGCTGGCTGCTCGGCCTCAAAGCAAGGTTGCTCAAGATAACATGGATGTCTTCAAAGACCAGTGGGAGAAGCAGGTCCGAGTGCTGACGGAGGCTGTGGATGACATTACTTCAGTGGATGACTTCCTGTCCGTCTCAGGTAATCACCACCTAGCCTTTAACAGGCAGTTCAGGAAGGATCAAAGGAAATAAGAAATCGCACAAATTCATAGGTCTCTTAGTCATGTGCTTTCCTTGACCCTTTGAGCATTGGATCAGATCTCAGCAAATGTGATTTAACAACTTCTCTCTAATTTTAAGGCACAGATACAAGGCTACAGAGGAGAAAAGCACAACCAGAGCAGATTATTTTAAAAGGCTTAGTTTTATTTATTTTTAAAAATATTTTGAAATGTTAGGGATCAAGCCCAGGGTCTGTACATCCTAGGAAAGTGCTCCACAACTGAGCCTAACTTTCACCTTTTTCTTTTTGAAACAAAACTTGTAACTCAATTGGCCTTGTAATCCATTTATGTCAGGCTGTCTTTGAACTTGTCATCTTCCTACCTCTGCTTTTTGTGTGTTAAGATTACAGGTGTATATTACAATATTCAACTTAGATTGTCTCTCAGATTTTGTTCTAAAACAATTCTTTTACACTTTTTTTCTCTCTCCCTTTTTCACTCTGTACGTGTGTATGTGCATGTGTGTGCACGCTCACACTTAGATGTGCATGTGTGCCAGTCCTGGTGCTTGAACTCATGGCATTGGGTGCTGTCCCTGAGATTCTTTTTCTCAAGACTAGTGCTCTACTACTTGAGAGCCATAGTGCCCCTTCTGGGTTTTTCTGAGTGGCTTATTGAAGATAAGAGTCTCATGGACTTTCCTCTCAGGCTGGCTTCAAACCACAATTCTAAAATCTCAGGCTCTTGAGTAGCTAGGATTATAAGCATGAACCACCAGTATCGGCCTCTTTCTTTAGTTTTTTTTTAAGCAGGATGTTCTTTTTTTTTTTTTTTGTCGGTTGCGGGGCTGAACTCTGGGCCTGGGCACTGTCCCTCAGCTCTTCAGCTCAAGGCGAGCGCTCTACCACTTGAGCCACAGCGCCACTTCCAGTTTTCTAGTGGTTTATTGGAGATAGGAGTCTCACGGTCTCTCCTGCCCGGGCTGGCTTTGAACCGCGATCCTCAGATCTCAGCCTCCTGAGTAGCTAGGATTACAGGCGTGAGCCACCAGCGCCCGGCAGCAGGATGTTCTTTTGATACATTTGAATCATACATGTGATTATGACACATGGATTATAGTATATAGAACTGATTAATCTACATGGATTATGTCATCTTAAAATAAGTAATCAGTTACTTTGATATATATGTTAAAAGGATCATTTTTTCCAAGTGAAGATTCATAATAACTAAGGTAGAAATATCAGGCACAGACTTAAGCTACTAGAAGGTTCATGGGAGCTATTACCCCTCTGAGTATATCTGTGAAGTTGTACAAGGAAGTAAGTGAGAGAAAACATTCATGTCATCATTGTAATTGTAGCTTTTCTTTTTTTTTCTTTTTTTTTTGCTTATGTGGTGCTGAGGAATCGAACCCAGGGCCTCATGCATGCAAGGCAAGTGCTCTACCACTGAGCCACCTTCCCAGCCCCCTAGCTTTTCTTCCTCATAAACATGGCCAGGCTGGAGGATGCTAGGTAGATAATGAATTATTGTGCAATTGGTTTGACTATAAGCCAGATTCCTGGATGGAATCTTTGACCAAAACAAATTTTGCCTAGTTGACCTGGAAGGGTCTCTGAATGGAGAAGGTCATTGGGAACATCAGCTCCTTTTATGAGGCATTCAAGGAATCAGGTGACCCTTGAAAACACAAACTGAATAGGGGGCAGTTTTTTGCACAGGTATAAAGAACTCACCTTCCCAGTCACTCAGCACTGGCACTGATGGAGGTGGACAACCCAGACCTAAGAGGAAGATGTGGAATCCCTGCCGTGGGGGCAGGCAGACAGGACCTCTGATGGCATCTGCAGGGAAATGACTTCTGTGGGAGGCTGGTGTGCTAGATGTTTTTACTAGTTGTAAACTTTCCTTAACTGGAAGCAGACCCTGAATTCCCACTGGAGGCTTGTATTGCAGGCTTGTGTTTAAAGCTTGTCTCAGAGCAGAGTAATCAAATCTATAGATTTAGTACATACTCAAAAAGCTGAGGTTTCAGTGATGGAGGGCAAGACAGGCAGATGGGGAAAAGAAGCCCACACATGGTTTGTGTCTATAATTTGCCTGACTCTGCCATTTGTTTGTCTTCTCACCCAAACTCTAGAAAAATGATATTAGTATTTTGTCTTTTTTTGAGAAAACAGAGGATAAGTAACTCGGCAGAGATGGTATTGGTATCTTTATCCTCCTCTGTTCAGAAACTATACAGTTCTCAATATGTCAAAGAAAAGGGAGATTTCCTGTTTATAGTGCTTTCTACATTTTTCTTTTTAAAAAAATATTTTAATTTTATTGTCAAGGTGATGTACTACATAAGTAAGGTAGTGAGTACATTTCTTGTTGAACTTGTTACCCCCTCCCTCATTTTTTTTTCACTTTCCCTCCCCAACAATCCCCGCAAACTGTGCAGATCATTTCTAACATATTGTTTTATGAGTATCGCTATTGCATTTGATTCCCCCCTTTGTCCTTTGTCTCACCATTTTATTGTTCCCTTTCCCTTTCCTAATTCAGATAAACATATATATATAATATGCAGGGTACCAAAATCAAATACAGTGACAACAAGGGATAAACCATAGGGAAAAAACAACCAAAAGAAACAAGAAATCACATAGTACATTAAAAACAACAGGGCTGAGAAGGTGGCTCAGTGGTAGAGTGTTTGCCTTGCATACATGAGGCCCTGGGTTCAATTTCCCCGCCCCACATAAGCAGAAAAAGCTGGAAGTGGTGCTGTGGCTCAAGTGGTAGATCACTAACCTTGAGCTGAAGAGCTGATAGACAGCACCCAGGCTCAGAGTTCAGACCCCATGACCGACCAAAAACAAAAACAAAAATCACCAAAAAAGAAAAATCTCTTGTGTCCATGTTTTGGAGTTCATTTCACTTAGCATCATCTTATATGGTTTTATATATGTGTGTGTATATATATATATATATATATATATATGTATATATATATACACATATATATGTATATATATACATACATATATATGTATGTATATATATATATATATATATTGAGCTATTCTGCTTATCTGCTAAGATTATCTATACTTTTTTCATTTCAGCTCCTTCTCCTACTTCATATATTCCTTTGTATAGGGGCTGATTGATAAGAGGACTCAGTATTTCACCATTAATAGAGTTGGTTCTTGGCTGATAGTTGAATGTTAGCAATGTAAAAAAATATGCCTCCCTTTAACCAAGCCTGGACTTCTGATCTATCTCTCAGGTATTTAGAAATTGTTTAGAGTCATGTTGAAGATCTAGCTAGATGCTGGGCAATAGAAAAGCATCTAGCAATGCTAAGATGGTTTCTTGTAGATTATCTTATTTTATTTTATTATCTCCATTACAAAGGGGTTTCAATTCAACAAATCAGTTTATGAGTACAATGTATCTTGATCAATTGTGAGGACAGTCAAGTACTCTTAATAAAAACAAAAGAGGCCTCTTTTCCCATCTGACAACTCCTAGAAATCTGAGTTGCCTTTCATCTACAACTAAGTACTAAAGACTCATTCATTGCCTTTCTTCAGAGAAGAATCATCTTAGAACTTCAGAGCTTCCCAACGTGTCATTTTCTTCAAATACATGTACAGAAGTTTTTTCAAGGTAGAAGCAAGATGAGGAGGTCTTGGCTCAGACTTCTGGAAGAGTACAGAGCTTTGCTGACCCCACCCACTTTGCCCGAGCCCTGCCTCTGCCATTCCATTGTGCATCTCATTATTACAAGCAACAAGACAAGACTTTGGCTCCTGCTGATAACACTGTGCTGTCCAACCCTAGTGGCACAAATACCTCGGCATGCCATGACAGGAAAATGAACAGAAGCTGTCAGGGAGCCAGGTTGGCAGGGCTTGCTGGAGCATGCCTTTGGAGTTGACAATCAGGCAGCAGGCACCTTTCCACAGATGGGGTTTGACAAATAATGACACAGCCCACTCTTTCCTGCTGGTAGGCTGTGGACACAGCCCAATGGTTGGGGTAACTACTTCCCATCTCTTCTCTGAACTGAAGCCAAACATTTGCATCAGGAAATTGAAAGTTTGGCCCAGGAGATATTTTGGAATGACATTAATGACATTTTATGTATCTGTTTCTTCTTGGGGGAATATCCATTCTGGAAGGAAACTATTTAAAAAGATACAACATGAAAATCTTTGTTTAAAGGACTATGTTTTCTCTTTTTTATGATAACTGAAGTTGTATATTTGAGTTTTTAATTTTTTTCTTTATGAAATGCAACAAGTTTGGAGAGCAATGATGCTAGCTATTAACATTACAGGAGCAAAAGCAATTTTCAGTTGTGGCCTGGGCTCATAAAAATGTGAAATGACTGCATTAGAACATTTAAACATTTCCCACTGGGCAAAAAGTACAGTTTTTAATAGTACTTTCAAATGAGTGCCTTGGCTTTAACCATGTGACAGTTTAATTCGTGGGTTTGGCTCACAAAATTGTAGACATCTAAGATCTATAAACGCCAATAGCTTGATCCCATAATGTCCAAGACTTTTGTTTGTGTTAGCCTTTATTATTTTTTGAAACACTGGGATCTTGAATTTGTTTTCTTTTAAAATTCACATGGTGACTTTGCTTTTGAGTTTTGGAACTATAGTTTTGTGGTTTATAGCAATCAAGTAGTTTTGTTACCATTGATTTTGTTTTTCAATAGCAAAATTACATATTTTTTGAAAGACTAAGGTTGCAAAAATCTCAAGGAAATTTATTGTGAAATATGTTGCAGTCAAATGTTTTATGACATGATTATATACCATACCTGATATTAGAATATGCCACCCAAGGTACATAACAGTTTTTCTGAGCTGTGTAATCTTTAGACTATACCAGTCTTTTATTACTATTATAACCTCTCTCTATATATACATATGTATTTATTATTTATCATATATATAATATATACTTAAGAACAGCATTCATCCTTCTCCTCCCTTTAGGAATTCTGTATCATGAAAATACTGTAGTGGGGTGGGAATGTGGCTTAGTGGTGGTGTGCTTGCCTAGCATTCATGAAGCCCTAGGTTTGATTCCTCAGTACCACATAAACAGAAAAAGCCAGAGTGGCGCTGTTGCACAAGTGGTAGAGTGCTAGCCTTGAGCAAAAGAAGCTCAGGGACAGTGCCCAGGTCCTGAGTTCAAGCCCCAGGACTGACCAAAAAAAAAAAACCACCCCAAACCCTGAAACAACAACAACAACAACAAAACATAGTATAAAAATGTGCAATGGGTTTGCTCCTAATAATGAATATATTCATCAAGTATCTCTTCTTTGATTTCCTGCTGTTAGTACGATGCTATCAGAAAGGCAAATATGAATCACATGTAGATTCTTCCAAATAATTCACTGCCCTTCTTGATATAATCCAGCACACTGGGCACCAGACATGAGTAGGCAGGGCATAGGAGAAGAGTATAACAAGGAGTCCAAGAATCTATATTTGTACCAAATATAACAGGTACAGACCAAGGAATTCATATTTTTATGAGAAGGTACAGTTTTTCAAATACATTGTATTTTATAAATAAAATACAAATGTTTTAAATTTTGAATTGCAGAAGCTTTTGAATATCAATAGTTTTCAGTTCAAAGGGGAAATTCATTATGTGCTGTACAAGTGAACATAACATGGTTATATTGAATGAGGTCAAAATAGATGTTCTTTTATGAATAGCAACTTATACTTGGCAACTTTCTACCCAGGGTTACCCAGTTTCCTAAAGGAACAAATAATTCCCTCTGAATGTTTTCTTTAATGAAAGTAGGAGAGGAATCTTCTTTGGAAGACTGTAATTTTCTGAATATCATTTTTAACTCTTGTTTTTTAGGATCTTTAAAATCAGAACTAGCTATAGAAACTTTTTAGCTAAAATTTTATTTTTGTCCTGCAAGTATTGATTGAATTTGGCTGCTATAATTTTTAGAGGCTGATTACTTTGTGAATTTGTTCTGTTTATCTGATTAAAGCATATGTATTTATGTGTATTTGTATCTTAACCTGTTCAGAATGCCTAAACAGAACATTATAATTTGAGATGCTTATAAACAATGAAAAACATACACTCATCCTGGGGCTTGAACCCAAGGCCTGGGCACTGTCCCTGAGCATCTGAGTCACAGCACCATTTCTGAGTTTTGGATAGTTGACTGGAGATAAGAGTCTCTCAACCTCCTGAGTAGCTTGTTTCTCTCTGTTCTTCACGTGGGCAAATCTGAGATAAAGATATTTTGTAAAAACTGCTCCTCATTGTGAGCCATCTTGTACCTGTTAATACTCACAAGGTGGAAGAATAGAGAGACCTCTCTGGAGTTCTTTTGATAAGGCAATAATTCCACTTGTCTCTTTACTTATACCTAGTCATCTAAAACTGTTATTACTTTTTAATACAATACCTCAAACAATATGAGGTCCTTGTTCAAACCATATGTATATCCATATATGATTTCTGCATGCTCTTTCTTCCATTTGAAATCTAAATTCAAATGCAAGAATAGAACCAGATGCCAGTGCCTCACACTTAATATCCTAGTTAATCAGGAATCTGAGATTTAGATCATAGTTCAAAGCTAGCTTGGGCAGGGAAGTCTGTAAGACTCTTATATTCATTTAGACAGCAAAAATATAGGAAGTGGAGCTGTGGCTCTAGTGGTATAGTGCTAGTCTTGAGCAAATTAGCTCAGAGACAGCACTTTAAGACCTGTGTTCAAATTCCAGAACCCACACATGCACAGACACTAGTGAAATGATGGAAACCGTCCTTACATAGGATTTCACTATATGAATTTTGGAGGGACATAAACATTCAGTACATTACAGTGTATAGGTGCTTAATATTATTCTTTCCAAAAGGCATTAAACATTTTGAAAAATGTTTTCTCCAGGATTGTTCAAAGAATATAATTACAGATTTTACATTGGACATGGGAGATTAACTATTACTTAACTAAAACGCAAGGGCATGTGGTTTCTCTGTGTCAGGAATGAATATAAACCCTTCCCCCTCTAGCTGCTTGTTTTTGGCTTTGGGCAATGAAGGGAGAGAGCTGTTTGCTTTGATTGTAATCTAATAAAAAATGAATCACACACTGGATTGTATTTTAAGTTTAGGGAACTCCTATCTTCACCTACACATCTTTCCAAGTATATATACCTTCTGTATCACATGAGTTGAAAAGACTGACTGGATGACTTTCTATATTGATAGCCTCAAGCTAGCCTGGTACTCAATGTATAGCCCAGATATGCCTAGAATTCAAAATCCTCTGGCTCAAGCCTCTTGAAAGCTGAGGTTACAGGAGTATATGAATGCATTTAGTATGACAGCTTTCAGGAGATTCTGTTAGGCAATTAATGTCAGTCTTTGAAACAAGAGAAGATTTTCTTGACATCAGTGCTGCTTAAAGTGAGGTATCCATCCCGGTAGTAGAAGCATCATCTAGAAATTTCATAGGATCTCTATTTCTTCTACCCTCGTGAATCAGAACATCTAGCATTAGGATCCAGAAACCTTCTGTAGAGCCCCAAGGCCCCTAGCTTGATTTTAGATTTTACAACTACAATTATAAACTAGATTTTACATAGCATTTCAGTGTTATTAGGATTGTAGTGAGATATACAAGGAGAGGCTCACCATAGTTGTTGACACTGTTTAGGTTGGTTATTAAATTCTGTGTGATTTAAAGTCCTATATATATATATGCATGTGTTCTTTCCACAGAAAATCACATCTTGGAGGATGTAAACAAATGTGTGATAGCCCTCCAAGAGGGAGATGTGGATACTCTGGACCGCACAGCAGGGGCCATCAGAGGCCGGGCAGCTCGGGTCATACACATCATCAACGCTGAGATGGAGAACTATGAAGCTGGGGTTTACACTGAGAAGGTGCTGGAAGCTACAAAATTGCTTTCAGAGACAGGTAACTATGGACAATATACCTAGCAAAATTGTTAATGCCATGATTAATTTCTGTGCCTGAACAAAGGTGGTTCATTGTTTTATATAGTCCCTTATGCTTCTAGATAGAATGCAGTAAGAGGCATGGAGTACTTCGGTGTACTTTGTTTCTTGAGTTTGAATTGATACATTTAGCAGAATAACAATCTTACTATTTTAGACCTATGACTAGTTTTCCTATGTAATTTCATTGGGTTCTCATAGGGACTTTAGGAAGTAGACATAGGAAGTTGTATTCTTTGTCATGATAAATGAGAACATGTAGATTTGAATCAATAAAGAGGCTAGATAAGGAAAATGGTATGGATGTGATTGGAAATTGTAATATGAACTTGAAAATGATTTCTCCTTCTATTACTTGAGAAGCTAGGACCTTAAAGAAGTGCTGTGTAGTGTCAGTGTGAAGCATACAGGCTCCAGGAAATACATAAGGAAAAAATGCTCATAGGAAGGGAAATGCAGACAGCTAAAATGGCATTACCTTCCCTTGATGACAGCCTTTTATGGCTGCTCCAGGTGCATGTGGTCACCTCAAAGGACTTATAGCTGTTATAAGACACAACTAAGTGTGAATGCTTGTCTTAAGTCTCTAGTGCATGGAGATAGAAAAATGACCCCCTTCTATGGAGTTAGTAGTAGTTCTTCTACCAAGTCAGCAGAAAAATTCTACAACATTGAAAAGACTGGATCTTTTTTTGGGGGGGAGGGGAGGTAGTTTTTTCACTCTAGACAAATATCTCTTGGTTTGAGACACTTAAGTCATTTGTGCTTTGTATGTTTTTTTTGGTATGCATGTGTGTTTATGTTTGTGTATGCATGAATGTGTGAGAGAGAGAAAGAAGAAATGTTTGGAAAAGGGAAAACTATAGGATAAAATAAGAATGTAACTCCATGTTGAAGCTGTGAATGAGTAATGAATTGGGTCATATGTATGCACAGAAAACCTTTCCCTCAAACCCCAACAGGATCTTTTGGAAGAGTTTGCACATGAACTTTAGACACTACTAGGCATTTTAAAAATAGATGTCTTTGAAAGGTCACATAGAGCACTGCTCCAAGTTCTGCATGATGAGACATGCTAGTAGAAATATGTTTTCTCCTGCAGGGAAAATATTATTTACAAAGAATTTGTTTGCCTGTAAATAGCAAGAGAAAATGTGTATAACTACAAGCATTGGTCATTTTCCCTGACATATGAGAAGAAAGGGAAGAGTGTAATATATAACAAAGAACACACCTAGATTGATGCTTTTGAGAATTTTAACAGACTTAGAATTTAAAGTAACAATGATAAGTACAATAAGATTTATCTACATTTTAATTAGCTGGGGTTTTGTACTGTTTTCTTCAAATAGGTATGGCCTTTACATTCAATAGTACAATCTAAGACAAGCTTTACAGTTAGTTATACCTTGTTTAAGTGAGTTAGAAACTGTCATTTTTCTCTCCAGTTTAGAAACTTTTTTTATCTTGAAAGGAGAAACTATTCTCCCCTCCACTTATTCTGATTCATATGTTTGGACTCACCAACTCTATTTTGCAAAGTCTTAACTTTATGTAGTATATTTAACACATAGTAGACTGTCTTGATGCTAAACATGCATAAAGAATATCAACAGAGTGAAAGAAGCAGAGACAAGATTCTTAACCTGCACATGATTAATGAGAACAATTGTAGCAAATGTTAGAAACAGAGCAAATATGTGACTTTGATCTCCAATAGAATTCAGGTACTATTTAGGAGACATTTTAGTCTCCTACTCATTGGGCCAACATCTACTTAAATGTAAGGGCAACTGCTTAGTTGATTGAAATTTTAAAATATCTTTCATCCACACTCTAAAAATGTAAATAACTATGTGGCTGTTTTTTCTGTTTAAGAAACAGTCAATGAAATAATCACCACTTCTGGATTAGTGTTGCTAATTGTTACTTAGTTCTTATTGTCAAACCATTAGATGTTCTCACACCAGCTCTTCTTGCAATGATTGAGCATTCTGAAGATTTCTATATATGGTGTTTTAAAATTTGATAACTATGTCCAGCTCCTAACAGAATACAGTAGTTAAGCAAGATAGGTTCCATTTTTTCAGAATCTATGGAAGGTAATGAGGAAAACGATCGTGTAAGAGAGATTGAAATAGACACTTACATAAAACCCTAATCGAAAATATGGAAATATCATTTTTATTGATGGGCTAAGAGCTTGAATATTCTAAGACATTACAAATTCTTTTGCTTCTGTCTTCAATTATTCTTCTTAATCAAAAACAATATTGTAATCTTAAGTAACTAGAAACTTGCCCCAGAAATGAAAGCCAAAATGTTAGCTGTAAGCTGGCTGGTTGCTCATCAGGATTGCTGGGTACTGTGTTTGTATAGAGTAGACAGATGTAGTTTTGAAAGAACCAAAAATCAGCTTTGTGATAGTGGTTAAATGAGGTTTTGTTTGCTTTTATATATTATCTAAAAATTAGATTAGATAATAGATCAGTTCTAATGTCAGGACCTGTGCTAAGAAGTCATGTTGCCTCAAATTATATAAATTATGAATATTATTGATGATTAAATTTCTACCTTTGATTTATGGGGTTTTTTTGAGTTGGTCACTTTTCTATATAAGCTTATGCAACTTTGTTTAGGAAGAATAGAGCGGGAAAGTGGATACAAAGGGAAAGTGGTTAGTAAGTGGAATATGACAAAGAGAAAAAAACTGAACAAATGGTCAGGTGTTTTTTTGTGTTTTGTTTTCTAGCCTGACTTACCTACAAAGTTCTACAGATATTTTTCTTTGTTCATTAAAAAAATTATTGTAAAGACACTGTACAAAAAGGTTACAGTTACATGAGTAAGATAATGAGTACATTTCCTATCAAGCATTGTTACCCCTTCCTTTGTTGTTTTGTTTCTTAAATCTGAATCATTGGCTTCAATATACATACTCAGAAACTCTTAGCCTCTTCACTGTTTTGACATTTTGGATTTATCTAGTTTTTCCTGGGGATTGACATCTGGCATTGTAGAATGTTTAGAAGCACCCCCAATTTCAACTCACTGGAGGATTAGAGTATCTCCTCTCCTTTTCATCTCAAATTCTTTTTTCAATAAGTTTTTTTTTTATTGTGAAAATACTATACAGAAGGGTTACAACCACATGAGCAAGGTAATGAGTACATTTATTATCAAGAATTGTTTACACCTCAAATTCTTATAACAAAAACCATCTAGAGTTATTGCCAGGTATCCTTGAAGGTTTAGGGAGGGGAAATGAATCACTCCACTAAGATGAAGTTGCCCCCCAGTAGGGATAATTTAAACAGAGCAAAATAAAACCTATGTACTACAGACAGGATCCAGTATGGAGTGTGCTGTGGAAGTATATTACAAAGAAGTATTTATAAAAGAGCAGAATGCTCACAGAGCTTTGACTAAACCAGATATTGCTGTCAAAGGAGTTCATAAGCAGGGGTCAGCCCTGTTTAGCCATGCAGAAAAGAGCAAGGAGGTGCAGGAGAAGATTATCACTGTATCCCCCTGTTTGCTTTCATTGAGTGGTTATGAAATTGAAAGGTACCCACAGAATAACAAAACCATCTGTGGTTTATTTTGTATGAATTATTTTTCGTTCTCAGTAAAGACAAGGTCTGACGTGTCAGATACTTCTTTGTGTATTGACAGTGAATGATTTAAGAAAATATTTTGTTGTGAAATACTAGTATGCTAAAATTGTAGGTAAGCATTGTGTAAACTTTTACCTATGTCTTAAGAAATTAATCTGTGTTGGTGGAAACGCAAGAAAATGGACCCTAGGATACCTATTAAATAATATACATGTCATATTTTGGGTGCCTTTTAATAAAATTTGTATTGTAACTAATTTCCATCAGCTCGGAAGTAAGTACATGCTTGAAGAGTTTCAGAGATCTCATTTCCAAACTCAGTTGCTGCAGGAGTCTGAGGGGTGGAGGAGAATGGACTCAGTGATACCATATTTAGATATGCACAGAGAAGATCATTCTTCACTGGATGGATTGTGTTAAAATGTCGGTTTTGTGAATGTGATAGCTGGCGCAGGTTTGTAGCAATATGAATGTTACAGGGTTGGAAGAGCTATGAGATTTTGCCAGACATTGCTTCTCAGTGGTGACAAGAGACCAAAAAAAATTAAAGAAATTATTTATTTGTTCATTGGATTATTTTAATAGGGTACTTAGCAATCAATCTCAGATCCTCAGATATGCTGGCAAGTGCTTTACCATTGATCTATCCTCTTAGCCCCCCCCCCCACCCCAAGAACATAATTTTAAATGAAATTTCCATATATTGATAATTTTGGCTGAAATCTCATTCTTCTGGAGTACATGGGGGCCAAATATGGTATCATTTATATTTTCATCCTCCTTAACCTAAATTTCTTCAAAAAAGCAAGGAGATTTTGGCATAATGTCTGTATAGGTAAATAGGATCATCAAGAAAAATTATCCAGACTAGAAAGTGTATTATAGATACATTTGGGCCAGTAAAACACTGTTGAAGGAATCCAAAATAGGAATTAGTAGAACTCAATTGTTTGACTATTACTTTTAACTTGAACAAATTAGTTAATTAATCTTAGGCCAGGTTTTCTCTTGTATTTTCTGGATCTTTGTCTTTCAAGAATAGTCACTACCGTAAGCTTGGGATGTGTGCAGCATTGTTCTTGGCTTCCTGATCCTTGTATTCAACAAAATCATTGCTTGAACATCCTTTGTACAAACCTTCTCCGCCTGAATGGGTGTTCCATTACTCTCCTGGGAAATCATATCTGTACTGTGATGATTGTGCTTACTGTAATGTTCTCAGTTTCCTCCTCCTCTACAATATCTATTTACTGGACAAGTCCTTTAATAGCAAAGTCATGTCCCCCAATTAGAGACAACGAAGAACTAAATGTCTCCTGACATTTAGTTGGTCTTTTTCAGT